AATCACATATCTCATGGTTATTTTAGGGGTTTACGAGTAAAGAGAACAGAGATTAAGCAGCATTTCCAACACATTTTTAAACAGACAACTTGAAAGGGCATCTAGTTCTTGGCAATGGCCAAAATAACCAAGGGAGCTCTCTTTGTAATTTACTTTTCATCCCAGTTTGTTTCCCAATGTTTACAGAGGATATGTAAACCATCCTATTTTGCTTTCAACTGATAAGTCCATCAACAGTGCAGACAGAGCTCGCCTTAAAGGTTATCTACGCAGATGGCAGCATTCAAACATACTAATTGGTTGTACTCTGTATGTGGATGTATTTAAATCCCCTTCATTCCTTAGTTTAGGCCTGCAAAAAGAAAATCTTGATATTGTTATGACCCTTCAGCATATTGTGAGATCATTGAAGAATTTAAAAAACTGGCTGAGAGTAGCCCTAAGGAATGACCAACAGTCAAACTTGTAATCAATAAAGTTATTAGCAAAGGTGCTAATAATGAATATTAATGTACATTCTTGCAATCATACAACAGCAGCACCTTGCAGTCATGCCAAGATCAAGCTTTACCTGACCTAATAAAAGATACAAAACAGGCTTGAATGGTCTGTTATAAAGATGTTATGATCAAAGCTGGTAAAGCCACAGGTGCAAGGACTTCTATAGTTGAGATCAGTGACTTTAATACTGAGGAAGAATCTGAAGATTCTGTGTTGGCGGATACCTTTTATGCAATGGATTACATCACTTCTTGCTTTAAGGAGCCATTAGAAAAGCAAGGTTTTGGCCTACTAGTTTGCAAGATGAAGTAGAGGAAGTAGTACACTATTCACAAAAATATTAAGCTCTACAAAAACAAAGTTACCAGAAAGTTTGGTACAAACTGCATACAACTCCTGATGCCAGAAAGTGGCCCAATGTGCTACTGCTTTGTGAATTGGTATTTAGTTTACCATTTTTCAGTGGCATTGTTGAAAGGATTTTCTCTACCCTTAAAGCAATCAAACTGAGAAGAGAACTAATTTGCAAGTTGAAACTCTTAAAATAAAAGAGAAAGGGCCTTCATTCAACTGCTTTATTCCTCACCCAGCTGTTGAACTTTGGTGGAAGTATTGTAAGACCACAAGAAGAACAAACCAGTTTTTTTTCAAGAAAAAGAGTATTGTCCACATGAAACCAGTGCTTATACTGGTGAATCTTCTTGTTCAGCAGCAGTAGAAGATGCAGAAACACCCCCCTCCCTAGAAGAAGGGGACGTGTGGCTTAAGAACGACGACTCAGATATTGATAGTAAAGAGAACGATTACATAATTATACCTTAAATTTGTAAAGTTATGTGCCATACTTTATTATATACTGTAGTAAGCTGCTAATCTATTTTATGGTATAGTAAATAGTGGTTGAATTGAGAATATATCAAATAGGTATATAATCTACAAAAACATTGTCATAACTTGTCATTTACTATTGGAAAATAAGTTATAATCCTCTCTGATCTCATGGCACTCTTTTTCAAAATTTTTCTGGGGTGCATGCCTCCACGACCCCCCCCCCCCCCTTAGCATTAGCATGCTGAATGTGTTCAATCACTGCCAACTTATATCAGATCCAGTTATTGTGTGAATTGACAAATGTTCTTTGAGTCAATAAAAGTTATAATCCTCCCTGTATGTGTATGTTTAAATGCCACAGAAGAAACAGTATTAACCTTTTGCTTATCACAGCAGTGTACACTTTTTATTCCCAAGGGCCATATAAGCATCCTTTAATAATGGTTTTTTCACACTGAATTCAATGGTTTTTTGGGCCTCTCTTTTTTAAATACAACATACAATCAATCAAATATAAAATGTTTGGTAATTTTTAAACTTCCTAGTTTTTTCTGGTTCCTGGGAATACAAAATGCTTAGTTACAAAAAGACAAGTTAGGACAGAGATGCCTTTTCAAGATTAATGTTGGTGCTTGTGGCTCTTATATGACCACAAAAGGATGAAAGAAATAGGGAGGAATCATTAAAGGAAAGTGTGCTATTTTTATTTTTTGTCTGTTTGTTAGTGCACTCGACCAGTAATCTGTGAGTCATGGAATCAAAACTCAGTGCCAAATGTACTCAGGCTTTCAGTTGTGGAGACATTATGATGTCGCAGTCAATCCCATTATTCAATGGTAAAGAGTAGCCCAAGAGTTGGTATTAGGTGCTGCCATCTGGTTTTCTTCCCTGTTGTCAGCACTTCAGTATCAGAGATGGTGGCAGATAGTCTTAGTAGCTTTGCCATAAATAAGCAAGTGTTATCTCTGTCATCAAGATAGCTAAAGCTATCCCAGTATAAGTAACATTTATGGACCATACTACTATTCCAGCAGTCAGCTCTCTCCCTCCAACACAATACTCTACCAGTTACTCATACTTTAACAACATGGATGCTGACTGGACTCTGCTCAAAATAAATAGTAACTCATATTATAAAATACAAAAGTGTGAACTGCATTATACAAAATGGAAGTGCAGGATTTTTTATACAGTGACCATAATAAGGGTGACTGGAATATGTTTTGCCAATCAGTCAAAAAACAATTTGTAACATTTTATTATTCTTTTTTTAATTACATTAGTCATAATAAGTATTGTGAGGTGTTAATTTTTTACTGTATTGTCATTTGATCATGTGTATAGGCTAAGAAACATGTAAGAACTACTTTTGGTAATTTTTTTTTTAAGTCTAACCTACACATTCAGCCACCCACTTCTTCACAAAGTTAAAGCATGTACAACAGGTCATTAATCTTTTCTGACTTTGTTTTGTGTAATAAATAATGTAAAGATGTTTTCTCTATTGAAAGCATCAGTGAACTTTACAAGATTATTGTTGCTCTTCCCTTTTGCCTACTATCAATAAATTGCAATTGTATAAATTCATACGAAATTTTTATTGTATGACTTATCCTATAATGTTACAGATTTTCGTTGTTTAATATTATGATTTCGGTTAAGGCAATTATTAAATAAGTAACTATGTTTCACACTTTTGCTCAAAATTACCTTTCTAACTTTAAAAAATGTTTTTCACATCATCTTAAACTTTTGAAAAGTTAATTTTTTTTTACAAAATAACATCTTTTTGTTGAATTACCCTTAACAGCCATTAATGCTAGTAAATGATGCAAGAAACTATTCTAACTAATTTAAAATGCACTGAAAATTAACAATGGTAAATTTAGGAGCAATGCCAGTCTCTTCCTGGTTAGGGGGCTGAGGTGGGTTTATATAAAAACTGAGGGGTTGGACTTGCATCTTTTGGACAAATATACTGTGGTATTTAGGAAGTGAACAAGCTTTAAGAGTAAGCATTGTTTGTTAGCTATAGGGGCTACAGGATTAAATTGCTGGTTAATGTATTGCAGTTTTACTAGCAGATCTCATAAGGCACTAGAAACAAATTGCTAGTACACATTTCAGATGAAATATTTGCAGGTTCTTACTGTCAAATATCAATACACCCATGATACATGCATTTCAGTCATTTCAATTGCAAGACTGAATACAGAATGTTACTATAATTGTGATTAACAAGACTTTCACTTGCAGGTGCTATGCTGGTTTTGCAATTAGCATGTAGGTCAGCTGGCTATACTTTCATCATCAAACCTCCACAGCACAATTTTGCCAGCAGTGTGTGCCCAAGTTGCTGCTTATTGGAGGTAATAATAATAATAAAGAAATCATGCTTACTGCAAATGTTTTTTGTTTTTTTTTCATATTCCTTCTAATTTGTCCATGATTAACACAAATGTTAAGCAGTGTTTAAACTGTAACTTTTGATAATAAATTAGTTCAGAGTGGCTGTCAACAACGATGCTATAAACTTTGATCTAGGAACTAGTGGCATAGTTACATGATTTTCTGACCAAATCAAGCATCTTTTAACTTTTGTGAAATAGGGGGGGGGGGAGAAAAGGAAAAGTACTTTGTGTTTGTCATGGCAAAGTTGTATTTTTTAATGTACTGAATTATTTTCTTTACTGATGACCCCTAGACTGAGGTCTATTATAAACATACAAAAGAAAGATAACTTAATTTAGAGTGATATGACATGCAGATTAAAAATATGGTAACCATAAAATTTATTTAACAATATGGGATAAATACAACATATTGCTTTTATCTCCATTTAATGAGGCTGTGTAACAGATAATCAACAAATTCAAAATCACAGATACAAGCCTACTGAAGTGATCCAAAACTTTACAACTTTTTTCATCATGTCATGCTCACCTTTAGAACAACAGGTAGGCATGAAACTGCAAAAGAATATCTTAAGGCATTTCCCAAAATGTCTCAAATAAATAATCTTTCTTAACTTTGCACACACTACTTTAAGGCATTTTTTAATGGAAAATAATGTTAAAAAACAGTAAAATATGACTTTCCCTAACCTTATAAATGAACAAATCAAATTATGGAATCCCCCTCCCTTTTTTTTAAAGAAAAAAAAATGAAGCTGGAATCTGAAACAATGTTTATGAGAACATGCAAGCCCATGAAGCAAATCCATGAAAATATAACAGAGTATTAAAGCTAGATATAAAATTAAGCAACTACTTCTTCCCATAAAAAAAAAATTGTGTTCATGATTTTTTGGTAAAAATGTTTAACACTATGCCATTTTTATTGGACATCATAGACACAATGATCTTTAAAAATGATCTTTGTGATTTTTAAATCAAATATTAATGTCCCCATGATGAATTTATTCCCATCAACTTTTCCTGAGAATTTTTGGAGGGTGAGAAAGTATATTTTTTAATCTACATGTGAGCATTTTCCTAATAATGAAATATATCTGACATTACTGAATTTAAGGAAAAGCCCTAGTACTACATATTTCAATTAATATTTCTTCTAACCATTCCATATTTGATATTATTGTTCCCAACCTCCTTAATTCTCTGTGGTTCTGCTCTAATTATTCTATTGTATTGCTATTTCTTTTTTTTTTAATTTGTAGTACACATTTATCGAAACACACATAACTCAACAAGACTTGAGAAACAGGCAAAAAAGGCCTTGATATTGAGACCAATTTACATAATTGGAAGAATTCTGGTAAAAATTAATACTCTTCTGTATAGAAAAAAACAACAACTTTGGTATAGCATATAAAGACTAACATGTAAGAAATAGAGTATACATATCTGAAGAAAGGTTGGCATAGATTCTGATGGATAAAACCAAATGAAGAAGATAGATATGTAAGCATAGACTTCCTTTGCTTGATGACATTACAAAATGGATTGGGGATGAGAAGCTTCAGTTAGAAATGCTTGTTCAAGCAGTAAGGAAATAGAGCAATGAAAAACCTACTCATCGATCCCCTGAATTAGGGAGGATATTAGCGTTTTTAAAGCCTAACAAATTTCTTTGTATTAAAAAATAAACCTGGTTGCACATAGTTTGACCAATTTAGTACATTTTACTTGCATGCACAAAATATACTTATTTAGCTTATTAATTTTTTTCTTTCTATAAGCTTAATAAAAAGGTACAAATCCTGCACAAATATATAAGTATACTTTTCAAATTTCAAAATAGACACGAACAGCTTTTCTGTTACACGTACAGTAATACTGTGATGGTAAGTCTATCTTGTATTATACTGCCTGTACTTATTCTAATAGCAGTGATCACAAGTCATGAATTCATAATTAACTCCTCCACCAACAAAAATCTGTATTCAATTTTAAGACTACACTTGCATGCCACTACAACCCACCAAATAAGTTTTTTTTCCAAAAAAGAAAAAATGGCCATATAATGAATTATTTTCTTAATTTATAGATGTATTGATCTTTCATATAAAAAAAAATTCTATCATAACATTACCAAAAATGTCTTTGGCAAAATATTTTAAATTAAAAATAAAATTCAGACTTCATAGAAACTGCACTACTGAAAGAATGCATTCAGTTTGATGACCTAATTAAGAAGCACCTCCTGGGTGAATTTTATATTAATTAGATGATTAGTACTGAAGCTAGCAAAACAAATTTAGATGATTCAAACTTGATACAGCTCTTCACCAATAACAGCAAGTCTATTCTAGTGCAACATGACACACTAGTGATGACTCTTCTGACTTTCATCTCAAATACATCTTTAAAAAAAATATATATACAGAATATAGGTGTTTTTATTATATCAATAATTTATTTTTATTTTGACAATTTACTGTGTATACTCAAACCACATTAATCAAAACATTCTATCAATTGTTTTCACTTCAACTATTGGGAAAAAAATTTAGAAAATGAAATGTTGATGAAATATGGCTAGAATATTTTAAGGCATGGTTATAAAAAAAATTGCAGACTGTGTACCTAAAAAAGTTACTTTTAAATCTAAAAATAATAATTTGTTAAAAATTATGATAGTTAAGTAGTAAGATGTTAAAAAAGCAAAAACCTCTAATTTCAATAGTTTTAATGGGGATCAAAAGTGTGAAAAAATCAACTTCTGATAAAATATTAAATATTTTTTCTAATAAACAAATTGAATTGTTTATTCAAATTTTCACAGTTTTTCTATATAGAATTTTTGTACAAGTATACATTGATACCTGGTTAGTGATGCAAACTCTCTTCTGCTTCAATAACTGATGAGAGGAGTGATTCAAGCCTTCTACGTGTCTTCTTTTGGTCATCAGCTGTACATTCTATTGTTACAGTCTGGAATCTTTGGTCAATAGGCCCTCGAGGTTCTGGCAGACAAGCATTTAGGTATGCCTCACACATTCGTCTTCCACTGCTCAAGTCTATTCGTATTTTATCAAATAATTCTTCAATATATTTGTTCACTTTATCAAGAGCTTTATTCTGGGCCTCATTTCTTAGAGTTTTAACATTTACTTCCACAGTTAAAGCACGACCTAATAGTCTCTCAGCTGTTACTTGAATTTCTTCCCGTTCTCCTAATAAATGAAAACACAAAGTAAGAGAAAAAATACAATGTGTAATTTCCAAGCTGAAACTTTATTATATATATATATATATATATATACACACACACACACATACATGCAATGTGTAATATTTTACACTATATTTATAGTTTGTCAAAAAATTTCAAATTACAAACTCGTACAACAATGGGTCAATAACTTTCAAGGGTTCTCTCTAGTAATTTTGTAAAACATGTGACACAGTACAAAAGGCTAGAAACTTTGGAAAATATCGGAGGTCTCCAATAAGGATTGAGGCAAAACCCACTCCCACAGAGCTACCAGATTTGAGCATTTGGTACTAGCAAAAAATAAAATAAAGATAACCATGTAATTTTTCAAACTCCTGTTAAAATTCCTTCCAACTGCAAATTCAAAACCCATACAGAAAAATAAGAAACATATAGAGTCAATTATTGGTTTGCCTCCAATGTCAATTTAACAGATTGAAAAAAGTTATATGAAAGGCAAAGTTTTTTTGTTTGTTTCTTAATCAAGGGCAAGACAAACCATTTCTAAGAATGAGTAATGCATTATACTTGTAAAAAGTTTTATCATCTTTAAATATTTTTCACAACACACCTATTTCAAATTTTGAACTTCCCATTCCATTAATTTTATTTTACACAAGGAGAACACATTTAAAATAACTGTTTATTTTGTTCATGGCTTGATTCTTGACCAAACTAAATGAATTACTCTCACTTGCTACTATACGGAAATTTGCTTGGCAAAGATAAAAATGTTTTAAGCATAGGCCGAACAAACAATTCAATTCTGTAGGGTCAATAATGAGAATCAGAAGGTGTGTTATTTGGCAAAAAAAAAAATTATCATAAAGGAAAACATAATTTTTTTGTTTGCAAAAAAGCATAGAAGAGAATAGGTTGTACAAGAAAAACAAAAAACAGAGGAAAATAATAACACATCAGTCCTGTAGTCCTTTAGAAGGTTTTATGGTGTCATTGAATTTCTATTCTAAACTTTCTTTAATGCTGGGCTGGCACACCACCTAGTTTAACATTTCTGCTCACTCTAGAAAAAATCTTACAGCAATCATCATGACCAAAAGATATAAACGGTATGACAGGTTTTCTTATCTTTTCAATATTCTGAGCTGTAACAAAGTCTAAGTGAAGTTGTATACCAAATTATAAGAGAACTAGTAATTAACAAACACATGAAACAAATACCATTTAAGATGGTTATTCATCACTTTAATGTTTTATAAGCCACGGCATAGTGACTCATAAAATAGCTCCGTTTTTTTTTCAAGTATAAATTTTTAACTATAGCTCCATTTCTTGACAAATTTGAGATTAATTACAGCTGTGGCTATTGAGGATTCCCTCTTGTTTTAAATTATCTAACAAGTTTTCATTACCATTATTGAAAATACTTTAAAAAACCTGAATATAAGCTAGATGTATTATACTGCTAACAAATACAGCAAATCACAGAACTTAAAAATAAAAGTTTATTTTGAAAAGGTTTAGAACAGAACAAAGACAATAAACAGAACTCATTTCAATCGGCAAAATCTATAAGGAAAAAGGAAATATAAAAGAATTACAATGAACCATTAAAGAATAACAAGATATGTGCAGCTTTACATTTAACAGAAACCACTTTTAAGGAACTAAAAAAAAACAAACAAAGAGAGAAATTACAAAATGATTATGAAATAAGTTATGACACAATATGTTACAATTTGTCATTTTGAAACAAAATTCAAATATGAAAAGCTATCCACTAAGTACAACAATTTAAAAACAGCATTAAGAACAAAAAATGGAACATAAGCATTTCAGGATTATATTTAACAAGTTAATTAAGCTTTTATACAAAAAGTCAGTAATATGAAAAATCATGAACTTTGTGGTTTGAATTATGTTAATATGTTCATTTATATAGATAACTTTGTTTGGCCATAGCAGGCATATTTTGTTATTATGGAATTCTGCAAACACTATGGTTTTGATAAATAGAATTTTAATTTGAATGAAATTATTACAATATGTAAGCCATTAGCACATTGTGTAGGATAAAAAGTAGTAAATTCTTTATCAAATTGCACTTGCTCTCTTGGAGCCTGAATCCTTCATGGTATGAATTATACTTTCCTAAGCTCAAAATCAAATGCATGCTACTAGTAATAATCATAATTAATATGCATGTGATATGCCAACATTGTGCAAAAATCACATCCCTTGTCAATTAATTTAACTTTTAAGCATTATGTAATGACAAATGTCAACAAAATACCAAAGTTAGTATTAAATGGGACATTAAACATGATTTTTATACTACTAGTTCAAGTAATAATGCATAGCTAGCCTGTAGCCTGCTATATAGTAAATATAAATTTCATATCCAGTCTCTTACAAGTTACATTTACACCAGTTTTTTATATATAGTATGTAGACACTGTGCACCAACTCTGATGAAGTTTAATGCATAAAACGTTTACACATAAGTTGTCTTACGTTACATTGAGAAGAAAGAGTAATAATAAAGTTATTACCCCATAAACACGTGTGTAACACTTGTTGAAGTCGTTCATACTCTTATGCCTACTTCAGTTCAGGCTTCATCATGTCATGTAGATGATAGAACGTAACAAAATTATTTAAACAACGTAATGCTCTTTTACTTTTATTTCTAACTATTTAAGAGTATATTTTCAAACTTTATTACTGTAAAAACTAAAGTTAAAACCCTAACTTTAAAAAATTCTTTGTGGGTTTTTTGGTATACTAAAGCTTATATTAAGCAACTATCTGAAAATTCAACAAAAACACAGCATGAATTTTGAGCAACTAGCAAGCTTCAGTATACTAATAGTACTAGTAGCAGTACTAATTATTATTAATAATATTAACGTAACTTAAGCTTGACAAAATCTATAATACAACAAACAAAAAAGAAGGGATTATGTTATTTAAGTTATAATTTATAAACACTTATCGATGTCACCGGTTTGTGTTTATCTTAGATTTAAAAAAATTTGTACTTGCCTTCACTAACAAGTTGTAAATCTTTATTTGTCTTAACAGTTGAGATCATTGTAAGCAAGGCTTCACGTTCTTGCTCCATTGCTGTTGCATGTTCTCTTAAAAGTTCAACTCTCTTTTCTATATGATCTAACATCCCAACTAGCCTATCATTCACGCGTGACACATTTTCTGGACAAGTAAACGGCCTTTCGGCTGATTCAAAACCGAAACTCGGAATATTTCTTGACGTGCCACCCATCCGTTCAACATTTTTGTTGTCTGCTGCCATATTCGAGAACGATCGCTCTGGAGAAGCCACATTGCGCACAGACTCATGGGATATCTGAAAAAAAAATTAAACACTAAAAATTTGTAGTGCATACTGGAGGGATTTACACATTATGATAAAAATTTAGAAACGTTGGTTTAAAAAATTATATATATATAT